TATGGTTTATATATAATTATATATATATTATCACATAATCATACTTGAGGAAGAAAAAGATGGCATATTTTATTCATATACCCAAACTGGGGGGAAAGAATGTAATTTGGTACAGATGTTATTTATATTTCCAAAAAGTAAGATGAATAGTAATTCTGTAGTTTAATGTAATAATAATGTTATGCAATATGTAGATCGAGAGATTTACAAATAAACATTTATCAAAAGCCTGTTGTATCATATTTGATGTACACATCAGATGGTTTTTCTACAAAAAAAATGTCAGCAATTGTCATGGATGCTTCTTTACTATCTTTAAATTAAGGATATATCACCCATTGGCCACCCTGCTCTCAATATATTGGCATCAGCCATCGGTTAACCTTAATCTTGAAGTATTAAAAACAAATACAATTTCTTAGGTTCTTAGGTTTAAGTAATCTTAGCTTTACTAAAATCATTAAATATTTTATGTCAAAAAGACATGTACATGTGAATGGAGGCAGTTTTAGAATTATAGTGAAAGGCCTTTAACTTGCCATAAAGTGTGAACTGTCTCATATAATGGTGTCGGTGCAGTCAAGTCAATAATATTGTTGAATATTAAGTGTCCACTAAGAAAGACAGAGGAAACAGTGGCAAGAACCTAAACTCCATCAGGTCACATAAATGGGTCAATGACGTATAAGGCCTTTGAGAGGCCCATTTTTAAAATACTTGAAATAATAATATATTTGGCTATTTTCTAAACATTTGGAGTGTAGTCTACACATGCATGTGTGTGAAAACTTCAAACAAAGATATTTTAGTGCTTTTAAACTCAAATGAATAGGGCAACGACCTTAAAAAAGTCATTTGGGGCGACCGTAATTTATCTTAAAATGAATAAATTTCCTTTACATAAGTTATATTTTAAGAAGTATCAGTAATTAATTGAACTGTTTAAGAAAGATATACTCATGTGTCCTTTCATTTATTGCAAATGATGTTAAATACATTTTTATCTATAATGGCAGTGTCACCCTCATAAAGCAATTACATATTTTTTTTACTCATATAATCCATAAAACTGATTTAAAATGGGTAGATATAGTATCCACTTATTGATGTTATACCAATGAATTATATTTCAACCAAAATGGACAGACATTTTTTTTTGAATTTACTACAGAATTGAATATGGTTGGTTACCCCACATGACAAGTGGTCGCCCCACATGATGAAAAACAGCAGGCAATTAAGACTATTCAATGATTTTGATAGTTAAAACAAATTTTATGAAATTTTATGAAGAATCAGCATATCCATTTCATAACATTAACAGTTTCCTCACTATTTCATTTGACACATAACCATCATATTAATATTTCCAATACTAATGCATTAAACGCTTGAACATAACATTGAACAGCATTTTCCTTTTTCATTTTCATTTCATTAATCACTTAAACATACAATGTTTGCCTTTTCATTACTATTTCATTTAACAGTTGAACATAGCAGCATTCTGCAGACACATTGAACAGCATTTTCCTTTTTCCATTTTCATTACATTAATCACTTAAACGTACAATGTTTGCATTTTTCTTACGATTTCATTTAACACTTGAACATAACAGCATTCTGCAGACACAATGTAGGCATTTCTTTAACCCCAGCAATTTCTGAATGCTACCCAGTCTTGGCAGGTCAACTTTGAGAAGCGTGAAGTTGCTGGCTCGGGTTCTGAAATGACAGCATGAACATCTTTCCTAAAGTAGAAAGTAACATCTGGAGTTTTTGGCCATAAGAACAAGTTCTTGTCATCAGACTGTCGCATACAGCTTATCTGCAGTTCCTCTTCCACAACCTTTAGGACCTGACCTACATATGGAAGCTCGTCGTAGGTTACGATCACAAACCTTCCACATAGATCTTGGACACTTTCTTCTTGGCTAGGTGGCTCAGGTGGAGAGCTTGAGGGGTCCTCAGGTTTCTCGGTTTGCTGTATGGTGGCTTTCAGGTCTACCATTTTTGGCTGGTAACAAGGGCACGGACTCATCTCTAAGCGCTTGCAGAAGCAAGATACTTCCCTGTGTGTTATCTTTGCAGGCTGTGATGACACAACTTGGTGTATCTTCATGGTGCCTTTTACAGCCTCCAAATTGCCAGGAATCAACTCGTCACATTTTTCAATGCTCTCACTTGTCACCCAGTAGAAAGTGATACTTGAGCTTCTTTTTGTCAGCATCTCATAAAGAGCTTTTGGTGTCTGCAGCTCACCTCCTCTGTTAACATAGAGATCCGCTTCTCTCTTTATTGCCCCACCAATCCCATCTGGGACCCCCTTTCCATGAGATTTTTCAGAGTAATTCCAGGTCACATTTGTAAATCCTGAGAGGAAAGGCACAGTACTGAGCAAGTAAAAATTATTTTTATTTCGGTACTGTGTTACAGGCCCGTCACTCAGAATATGGAGGGTAGTGATTTGTGGGAAAGATTCCCGAAGCTCTTTCAAGATCGGCTCTAGATGTGCCCACACTGCCCGTTCATCATGGCGAAGGCAGTCAGACAGTGTTGCATAGGATTTGGTTCCACGGACAGTGTACAGGACTGCTGTGTGAATCGTGGCCTGTTGTCTACTGCCGCCAAAGTGAAAGGACTGGATCTCTGTGCTTAGCTTACATGCATAGTTTTCTGAAAAGTCTATGTGCAGCACAGCTTCACACTCTGTGATGTTTTGTTTGAGGAGGCGGAATTGCTCTGCCTGGTGGAGCCAGTTGAACTGGTGGACTGCCAAGGCTTCTAGTTTTTGATGGAAAAGCTCAGTCAAGTCCTTTATGGTTCCGGTCGAGGTCTGTTTGATCACGTTGGAAAATGTTTTTTCTCCATTAGTGGATGTCACCCTCTTCCACTGCTCCCAGGTGACTTGTGTGCTGGCCTCTGTGTCAAGGCACTTTACCTGTTCAAAACAGCACTTGGTACATGTGCGATCCATGCAGGCTTTATTTTTGGTGTCACAAACTATCATGCCCAGCAGCTGCTTTTTGTTTGTAGTACTCCTCTGCTGTAGAGCTTGTTGGCCAGCAGGTGCACATTTTCAGGCCCCATACATGCACATGTCTCCCTATCTTGGGCCCTTGGCTCTGTTACATAGAATGGCCGTCTTCGGGTGAACTGAAGATAGATGGAGACTCTTATCCATCTCACTGTTGTAAAGTGTATGCAGCTCTTTGAGTGGCTTTGTAAGCACACGTCTTTGATACTTCAGTTTGTTTTTGGTGATAGTATCTTTTTTGCCGGCTAAAAGGCGACTGTTCTCATCTCTTGTCAAAAAACTAACAACTGCTTGCGCTCTCTGTGTTGCCATTTTTTTCTTTCCTTTGGGTTTGAACTTCTCACTCAGCCGTACCCTTTCTTTAGCCCTCACCTCACTCTTTCTGGCTTTTTCCTTTTCCTTTATCATCTCTGCTAGTTTTTCTTCCAGTTTTCGGTTCTCCTCACGTAGTTTACGATTCTGAGCCTGCAGTCTCTTTCTCTTTCTTTCTCGTTTCTCGGGTGTTTTCTCTCTTTCTCTCTCTGGTGTAGAGGACATCGGTGGATTAAATTCCTCCACTAGAGGTAGGGGATTCACCACAATTTGCCCTGGATTCTCCTGCTGCTCATAAAGCCCTATACCAACTAAAACTGGTGGGGTGTTTTCTAAGGATGGTGGTGTCATTTCCAGCATCACCTTTTCTATCTTCTTCCTCTCCCTGTAACCTTTTGATGCAGCCTTCCACTTGGCTTTCTGTTTCTTCCCCTCTCTCTCTGATAGTTCATCTGACTTCATGTATTTGATTGTGCCCTTTTGCTTTCTTCTCTGGTAGCTGAAACAAATTATTGTATAATAAACTATTGACATTACTATACTGTCACTGATTCTGGTGGCCTAACATTACATTTTATGTAATGTTAACTACCTATATATTTTACCTTTCTTTTTTCCTGGCAAGATAGTCAGCTCTTGCTACAGGATCTGCATTGATCCGCTGCCTGTAGCGAGCAGTCTTTTCTTTGCTTGTTAGTGGGGCCATCTAGAAAAAAAAGTATATTTAGATGATGCTCGGTCGCCCCAGATGATGTTTTCAAGTTTAATCAAGTATAACAGGCTAATGCTTAGCTGTAGAACCCAAGCTAGCTTCTTCTCACCACATATCACTGACAAATTTACATTAAAAATAAAGATTTGCGTATAAAACTTATTATTTACAGTTTTAGGTTGGTCGCCCCACATGATATCAAAATGTGACGTATACACTGCAGCAGTTTTAAAGAGGATTTGTTTGTAAAAATGAGAGTGACTACTCACCTGCTAGTTGTCTCTGTGGGACCCTCACCATGAGGCTGGCTGATGCAACATCCTCTTTGATATGATTGTCAAAATAAAAGTCCCTTAATTGTATTTTCTTGATGGTCGCCCCAGATGATATTTCAGACAATGAACATCTTCGGACAAGATTTGTTTGTTTATTATGATTGAAATGTGTGTCCAAATGTTTCATAACTTTGTCAATCAATGGAAAACAAGTTTAAAATTATGCCAAATAGGGTAAGGATTATATTTAAATTATTTTATTTTGATTTAAAACAAGTTGTCCAAACAGAAGTCAAGGCCGGACGGTCGCCCCACATGATGTTTTCACACTTCAGGTGGCAGACAATGGCCAATAAGCCAATTATTTTTAAAGAAATAAGAGTGGGCATATGTATAAGGGAGGTGGTAGACAAAAATATTATAATTTTATTAAATTTAATGTTTATTAATTGGTAAAAAGTTCAGTCGGACAGAAAAAGCAAGCGTCACGTCTTTGACCCAATAGAGAGAGAAAAAATCCTATAGCTATAAAAGCTTTACACAAATATTTTTTTCAAACATGCTTCATTTTATCTAGGATATTTGTCACTGAATAAAAAACACTAATGTACAGGAAGTAGTTTTTGAAGATAAATGTTATTTTAACTCAGCCTCTTTGCTGTATATGCTGTTTATGTAAAAAATAAATGGAAAATGTATTTAATATTTGAATATAGAAAATGTATTGTATGTGTTCCATCTAATTCTGTGTTGTGACTTTATTGTAGGTTAAATGATTGTAACTTAACAGACAAAGGCTGTTCAGCTCTGGCTGCAGTTCTTGGATCAGATACCAATCTGAAAGAGCTGAACATGAACAATAATAATCTGCAGGATTCAGGAGTGAAGCTGATCTGCACTGGACTGAAGAATATAAAGTGTAAATTGGAGATACTGAGGTAAGTTGAGCCACACGCAAAAGCGGAAGAGAACTTTTGTGAAAAATTCAAAGATCTTTTATTTATTTGTTACAACGTGGTTAATGTTGTTAAATAAATGTTGTTGTGTTTTTTCATCTAGTAATATTGAAGTGACATTAAGCATTCATTTCGTTCCAAGAAAAGGAAAGATCTAACATGAAATATCAGAATAAGAGCTACAGATCCTGAGGGTCATTGGCAAATATCTTTTCTTGTAAAATAAGTGCTCCACATGGCTCTCCAATAAAGGCCGGGAGCTAGTTATTTTAGCCTATAAAGCTTTAAATAAGGATATTTTTCTTACACGAACGCATCACTTCACTTCAGAAGACTTTTATTAACCCCCCAGAGCCGTGTGGAGCACTTTTATCATGGATGGATGCACTTTGATGGAAAAATATACAGCCATTCACTGCCATTATAAAGCTTGGAAGAGCCAGGGCATTTTTTAAATATAATTCTGATTGTATTCGTCTGAAAGTAGCATGTAATATACACCTAGGATGTCTTGAGGGTGAGTAAATTATGAGCTAATTTTCATTTTTGGGTGAACTACCCCTTTACACCTGGTACTGCACTGGGATTATAATATTTAGTGGATAAAGTATTTTCTATTTATGTAAATTCTACTTCTTATAACTTAACACTTAAATTGTGATGTTTTTGTTTATAGTAATTTATACTTTAGTGATGTAACCTAGTGTTGAGTCAGTATTCAGATGATTCTGTTAGAGCTGGTAAATCTGCCACAGAATGGAGGGCGATATCTGGTAGAAATCACTTCTCTTAATATTTTATGTGACAGCTCCCTCAAAAGCACTAAAATACTTAAATCCTGTATATCTCTGATTCTGCTTCCAGCTTTGCAGCTAGTCTTGACTAAACACTTCCTCTAGTTTATGAGTGTTTTACACCACTGTGAGGGTATTTTGGTCCATTTGTCCCACTCATTATAAAGCTGCTTCAACTCGGTGACATTAGTAGACTTTCCAGCATGAACGGTGTTTCACGTATTTCCACAGCATTTCAATAGAGTTGAGGTCTGGACTTTAATTAGCCCTTTCCCAAACTTTAATTTTCCGACCATTTTCAGGTTACTTGTTGTGGATCATTCAGATTGAAGACTTTCAGTTGTAAGACTGGATAAACTGGAAGAACTGGAAGAGAGGGCAACTCTCTGAGAAAACAAAGGAAATTAACATTTGAACTCTCTTGCTAAATTACTATCCCCATTCGAGACACGATCAAAGTAAAGTAACGAGTAAATAACTATAAATTTAATTTCAGCAATTGTCATGGATGCTTCTTTACTATCTTTAAATTAATGATATATCACCCATTGGCCACCCTGCTCTCTTAATATATTGGCATCAGCCATCGGTTGACCTTAATCTTGAAATATTAAAAACAAATACAACTTCTTAGATTCTCAGGTTTAAGTAATATTAGCTTTACTTAAATCATTAAATATTTTATATCAAAAAGACATGTACATGTGCATGGAGGCAGTTTTAGAATTATAGTGAAAGGCCTTTAACTTGCCATAAAGTGTGAACTGTCTCATATAATGGTGTCGGGGCAGTCAAGTCAATAATATTGTTGAATAATAAGTGTCCCCAACTAAGCAAGACAGAGGCAACACTGGCAAGAACCTAAACTCCATCAGGTCACATGAATAGAGAAAAAATCCTATAGCTATAGAAGCTTTACACAAATTGTTTTTCAAACATGGTTTATTTTATCAAGGATATTTGTCACTGAATAAAAAACACTAATGTACAGGAAATAGTAGATTTTGAAGATACATTTTATTTTAACTCAGCCTCTTTGCTGTATATGCTGTTTATGTAAAAAATAAATGGAAAATGTATTTAATATTTGTATATAGAAAATGTATTGTATGTATTCCATCTAATTCTGTGTTGTGACTTTATTGTAGGTTAAATGATTGTAACTTAACAGACAAAAGCTGTTCAGATCTGGCTGCAGTTCTTGGATCAGATACCAATCTGAAAGAGCTGAACATGAACAATAATAATCTGCAGGATTCAGGAGTAAAGCTGATCTGCACTGGACTGAAGAATATAAAGTGTAAATTGGAGATACTGAGGTAAGTGTAAATTGGAGATACTGAGGTAAGTTGAGCCACAGGAGTCATGTGACTAGAGTGAGGTGCGATGACTGACAGGACGATGCCGGAGGCAAAAAGCGCACTTGAGTTGATCACCTCCCAATTTGCACATCATTCCCTTCACCCATCCCTACCTGAATTCACCCAAAAATCTATATGGTTTAATATGAACTATTATCATACAGTATTATACATGTTTGGTATAATTTGAAATGTCTCAGTGCGACTGGTACAAAGGTCTCATTCCCACAGAAGTAAACCAATAATGTAATAAGGTGTGGAGCGTTTAGAGATACCTTGTTAACTGCTGTGTGTGTGCCCCCATGTAAATCAACGTCTGTCCCCAGTAAGTCTGGGACGGTGATTAATGCAAATTCCCACTGTGAACTCGTTTACATTTTGAAAAGAGGTTTCTGCCTTGGTCTGAGTATTTAGGGAGATGCTAAAGAAGGCTTGTGGTGATTTGTAACTCAAATTAGCCTGTGATGCAGAGTGTATGCAGGCACTCATGTATTTTATAATGTCAGATTCGCAGGTATTGATTATCTTTGAACTGATCATGTAATTGGCATGATACATTTACCTGACATAATTAATTGGTACATTTGATTTTATTCCGACTGACTCTGAAATTGTTTTCCCAAGTAGATGAAACGGATTTGTATGTTACTGCAAGTTTTGCGTCAGATTAGTGATGACTAATATTTTGTCGCGAATTCAAGTGTTAATGTTTTGCAAAGACAAGAAGTGAATTTCCTTTAAGGGCAGCAAAAATCCTGCTTGACCAACCTAAATCTGGGTGTGTTTTACCTCTGTTTTAATTTAATGTTACTTTACACAAGTGTACGTGGGAAACCACGGTATGGCCAATCCAAAGCTATTATAAGACATGTAAAGTTGGTTGACCTTTTATCTGTAGTATTGGCCATACCTCTACTGAAGTAAACGTTACTTTAATTTCAAGTGTATGCAATCACAGGGGCTATACCAAAGTATCTTTGATTGTGTAAATGTGAATGTGACCAAAATCAGGTATATAGCAATTACCTCTGTTTAGTGACCGAAGCTGGCGAGATTGTGATCGTGAGACCCACGTTAAACAAGGCGTGAGGACCTCTGAGCGACATAGCTTCCTAATATAAATGGGTAAAATATGAGTAAAGCGTTAAATAGAACAATCAAATGTATTGCTAAACTATTATATGAATTGACCAATAACCAATTGGCAATCTAACTTAAATTTGAGGTTGTGATAAAATGAAATCAGATATAAAGTCAGATAAAAGCTTAAATGGACTTAAATTACTTTGCCACATGGAAAGACAGTAACATGCAGAGACCTTCACCCGTTCTGGAGGAAACCCCCATTTGGACCAATAAACAGGCTTACACAGTTTTAGATAATTGTAATCTCGAAAGTGATGTTGATGTCTAACATATTAAAGATTTCTGTGCCTTTTGTTTGCCTCCATATTCAGTTGTCAGTTTTTGCAAATAACTTTCAATGCATTTGTACAAAGAGCAAAATAAAATTCAAGTTTAAGGATTTATATTGTTTGGGGTTTAACTTATTAATCAGTTGAATGCTTTCATTCCTGTTCTAGACTCTCTAACTGCAGTGTAACAGAAGAAGGTTATAAAGCTCTGGCTTCAGCTCTGAGATCAAACCCTTCACACCTGATAGAGCTGGATCTCACAGGGAATGATCCTGGAGAATCAGGAGTGAAGCAGCTCAATGATTTACTGCAGGATCCAGACTGTCAACTGAAGTCACTGAGGTGAGACAGGATCAAATATTTAACTAAATTAGTTAATTAGGCTAAATATTCATAACTAATATATTATTTTAGCGATACAATTAGCTTGACAATTTGTTGCATCAAAAATGATCAAGATCAGATAAGATGCTGCAGGTTCTGTCATGATGATGATAAACGTCAACACAGTTTAGTGGTGATACGAGCTACAGGTCAAATAGACATTATGGATCAGTATACAGTTGGTCCTCAACCAGAATAATACTTTTGCCGCCGCTGTTAAATTGGGGGGTGTATTTGCTGCCTTTTACCGCTAAGAAGCGCTACTATCACAGACTTTGAAAAGTGTCAGTTTTTACTCTCTATTGCGTAATCTGCCGCGGCTCGTTGAGAACTGGTAGCAGATAAATTCAAGTGAAACATTTTAGTTAAATGACTTCTTAATCACAATACTGAAATTAAAGTACAAATTTAGAACTAAAACAAATGTAGGCTTCTATTATTGGATCAAATTTAAGAAAGTAGGTTAAACTTTAGGCTAATATTGTGTGCCCAGTTTTTCTATAGGCTAATCTCAGGTTATGCGTCAATATAATAGGTAGGCTATTATACATTGTTTCAGTTAATAATCTACTAACAAATTAAAATAACGGTGAAATAAATTAGGCATAAACAAAATGATCGTTTAATAATTTAAACATTGTCAGGACTTGCTAACCGATGTTAGTCGGCATCATTTCTGTTTTAGCATTCTTTATTATTTTAAGAATTAACCCTCTGGGGACTTAGCCCTTTTTGGTCCGTTTTCTCTATTTTTACATTTGGGCTTATAAACCATATGTAATGGAGATGGAACACCATGTGTTTGGTATCTATGGATTCAGAAGACCCTAAGCTAGTATGTCATGTGTTTACAAAGGAAGTATGAGTGAAACATGTATAATAAATGTACAATAAACTAGAGAATTTCAAAACGAAAATTTTATTTTTGTCATTTATTACTGAAAATCACACCTCACACAACAATAGTGAACAGTTTTTGAACAAAAAATATATTGTTCAAACCCTTTGCTTGACAGACATTTGTAATTGTTCAATCAAAAGTAAAATATTTCATCATCTGTGAAAAAGCTGTCAGCTTCGGATTTCTCCTCGTCACTTTTTCCAGTAATTGTTCCAGAGCGTGTTCTGAGGTAAATCTTTTACTGCTTGCCATCATAAAAGTGCTAAAACAGTAAGATAATAATGCTATAATTGCTATATATATATATATATCAGAGGTGGGAGTAAGTCACACATGTGCAAGTCACAAGCAAGTCTCAAGTCTTAACCTTCGAGTCTCAAGCAAGTCCAAGTCAATTTTTTATAAAAGCAAGCAAGTCAAGTCAAGTCACTGCTTAATGTCAAGCAAGTCAAGTCAAGTCGTAGCTTGGGTTACAAGTCACTGGCAAGTCATACAAACGTTTGATGATTTCACTGAATTTATATATTAAAATAAGTTAAAGCTACATAAGTTGTGGACTATGGTTTTATTTGCAACATATTTTTTTTAAATATGCATTTCCACATACAGCTGAGTGGTTACTACAATAAAAATCTAAAAAATAAAAAATAAATACAATTTCAAACTACATAAGATTTACAAATGTAAATGTAACTGAAATTAGGCCAACATTAAAGCATGAAAAAATAAATATGCCTCAAACATTGCAGAAGACCATTAAAAGGTATTAAACAATTCACAATTCAAGTATAATGGTTCCTATGCCACCAAATGGCATTCTTCAAACTGGCATCCCCTTTATATAAGTTATATAACAGCCGTTGGCATTTAGCCTATTATGAAGTTAAAACTGCCAATAGGTCGCGCCAAATCACCGTCTTAATGTACGAGTCATAGAAGCAGTCAACTGATTTGTTCAAAATGACAGATTCGTTCTGGAACTAAGCAACTAGGTCACTGAATCACAAATACGCATAACTCTTTCTGTGGCTTGTTTGGAACTATTGTCATTGGAGAAATAGAGCAAAAACAGAAAATATTTGGAATATTATGTCTAAAATGTCACATCACAATATTCACTCTTTGTTTACTGAACTGTTTTATAAAATCATCACATTTGCAATCGCGCCAATAATCTGGAAATATTTTTTGATATATGTTATAATTATAAAAATAACTCATAGGGCCATTTTTCCACCACATTTTGAATTTTGGGTGCATATTAATTCTGCTGGCATTTTTTGCCACCAACCCCCTGATAACATTAAGAGAAACATAAACGACAAAACTAACAGTTTTCTATATTGTTTTTCGTCATTGGAAAGAACAACATTTTTGGCTTTAAAGCATGATTTAAAAAGAAATGTGGCAAATGTTATACAAAACATATACCATCCATGATTAATTATCATTTGAATATTGACAACATTAAGCTACATTTGAAAACATAATTGTGTATAAAGAGGCATGCTGTTTTGACCAATATTATTCTCTCTAGATTTAAAGATAGTCAAATTAACTTTAACAAACAGGTTAAACAAGCCATAGCTTACTTTTAGACGTGGTGAATGAAGTTCGACTGTTCGAGGTTGTGATGGTCGTCCGATATCCCTTGCCAGTTATTATGCGTACAACAAATCTTCTTGCATGAATATGGTCATTTTCTAGTGTTTATATCCAAAAAGATACGATGCAGGGAGATGTTTTTGTATTTAGCGCGCTCACCGCGATGTAGGCTATTTCTGGGCTTGTGCAGCGTCAGGCAATCGCGCAGAATCTGATGACTGACGTCAATGGTTCCGTTGCTTTCATTTTGTTTATCAATGGATGTTGCGATGATTTATATAAAAATGTATATCAAGTCATTCTCGAGTCATACAGTTCAAGTCAAGTCAAGTCTCAAGTCATTGGATCTCAAGTCAATGTCAAGTCGAGTCATTTTCTTAATTAAGTCAAGCAAGTCTCAAGTCCTTAAATTTGCGACTCGAGTCAAGTCATGTGACTCGAGTCCCCCATCTCTGATATATATATATATATATTATAATCGTTCTGTCTCTCTCTCATATAAATCTCTCTGCGCGCTGTAATACTCTGCTCCGTTCGCTCTCTGTCTCCTTCTCCACTCGACGCTGTTTGCGTGAAATTGCGTCATATCACTTACTATAATCCCACCCCTTGCAAGGCTACAGAGTCCTCTGATTAGCTAGAATACGCCATGGTAACCTTCCTCTGATTGGTACGAAAATATTCCTCCCAGCGGCAATTTTTCCATTGGTCTTTGCGCGTGGAATATTCCTAACAACATCGATTTCATTGGCCTTATACGCAGTGGTATTACGCAACAAGGAAGTGTGTATCCCATATACCATTGTTTTCAGCAGAATCTGAGGAAGACGGCACCTCTCTATCATTAATAGTTTTTAAGATAATTACACATTTGTAAAAGTATGCCCTTTTGGGCGGTATCGCCCAATCCGTCCCCAGAGGGTTAAATAGGCTTATTTTATAAATGAAAACATTTCAACATAAAACATTGTAATAATTTTTCATGAGCATAAGATGTTAAGTGTTCAGACGATAGCTGTGCGGTCAATGCTTCAACATGTCCCTCGCGGGGCTTCAAGCGCTCTGAGTTCGAAACTCAGCTCTATAAACTGATTTCATTATTTTGTCTCTAGTTTAATATTTGTCGAAAAGAAAAACTTTTTAAATGTGCATTTATTGATTCAAAATCCTTTTCGGAGCTTTGTTATTCATTAGGGATGCACCGAATCCAGGATTCGGATTCGGATTCGGCCGAATATTGGGCTTTTTAACGGGGTTCGGTTTCTGCCGAACCTCATAATTTTTTTCCACCGAACCGAACCCTAGGCTTGCACTACGCGCGCTACGTCGAAGTCACCGATCAGTGAATGACATCAAAGTACCGCGTGAACGAATAGAGAGCAGACGGCTCCTTATGCTTTTGAATTGCTCTCGCGGGACTTTGATGTCATAAACTGATCTGTCTGTGCAGCGCTCAGGTTCAAGTCGAACAAGCCTGTAGTGTAACGCGTTGTGTCAGGAAGAAAAATAGGGATAGCTCACAGCTAAAGTTATTGCAGAGGCCAGACAGACTCACGGAGGCGATTGGCATCTCAAAACTCGCACTTTATTCCACAATCGAACTTGTGTAACTGTCTGTCACACGTTCTACTGTCCACAGCGTTACTTAACAAAATAAGGTAAAAATGAGCATCAAACAGAAATAAACTGCATACATGGGCATGTGTTCGAGGCGCACGGCACATACAATACGGACTGCAGACAGTTTAACAGGGAGCGCGCAGTTCTTAAAGGAGAACTCCGGCGCAAAATGAACCTTTGGTCTAATTACACATTGTTACCTAGTCAACCGTTATCTGAGATTTGTTTTCATGATTATCGAATGTAAATAGTTTAATCTCTACAAACAGTTTAGCCTATAAAGCTAGTATAACGCTAGTATATTGGGCATAGTGTAATAACAAATAAAAATCGCTTGTTAATACCACTAACAAGGCTCAAAATAGCCCCACACTAACACGGTAGCATAATGAGGGTCCCTACCTTCAAACCGAAGCATTGAGAACTTTGTCAGTGTCCAGACAGTTTAATAAGAAGATATTTTAAACATACAGTCAACTTCGCGTATACAGGCAGGAGCCATCTTTGAAATACAGCCTTTACCAGTCGATCTACGAACGCCGATCCAAGTGCGCTGTTGAGATGTGAACGAGCTATAAGTTGTGATAAGGTGAGCGCGAACAGCAGGCTTGGATCGGCGTTCGTAGATCGATTGGTAAAGACTGTATTTCAAAGATGGCTCCTGCCTGTATACGCGAAGTTGACTGTATGTTTAAAATATCTTCTTATTAAACTGTCTGGACACTGACAAAGTTCTCAATGCTTCGGTTTGAAGGTAGGGACCCTCATTATGCTACCGTGTTAGTGTGGGTCTATTTTCAGCCTTGTTAGTGGTATTAACAAGCGATTTTTA